TGAGGGTGAGAAGAATTGAGAGCAGCACTGAAACATATACATTACGATATGTAAAATAGATAGCTAATGGGAAGTTGCTGTATTAAACAGCGAACTCAACCGGGTGCTCTGTGACAACCTAGAGGGGTAGATGGGGTGGGGAGGCATGGGAAAGAGGTTCAAGAGGCAGGGGATATATGTATACCTATGGCTGTTCACCTTGTTGTATGGCAGAAACCAACACAACATTGTAAAGCAATTATCCTCCAATTAAAAATAATTTTTTTTAAATAAAAAGAAAAATTGACCAGAAGAATCATAGACTAAGTAAACACTGGTTTCGGTGGTCACTGAGCCTGGGAGTAGTTTGTCATGCAGCAAAAGCTGACCTATACATACTCTATAATGGGGATCACCTTGGATTAAGGAAAGTAGACTTTTCTGAAAGTAAATAATATGCAACTTTTAGGACTTTGTTATAACAGAACCTAATTCTGTTACACATGTGTGTGTTAACCAGTCTGTAATAGAGTCTACTCTTAAGGACACATAGGTGGGGTGGGCCACATTTATGCTTTTTCCAGGAGAAAAAAAAAAAAAACCCTGTTTCCTATGTATGCCTGCCCACAGGGCTCCCTTCCTAATCCTCATTTCAATCAATAGTCTTCTTTTTTACATTCAGCTTCATGAGTTCCTGCAAGTCAATTCCCTGTCTTCCCAGATGGCAAATTCACACTGCTTCACCAGGGTAGCTTCGTAGAATGGGGAAAGGAGCAGAAGAGCATAAAACTGAGGATTTGCCAAGGGCAGGGCCTGAGGCTGGAGCCAGGGGTGGGAAAGGAGGCTGTCCAGAGCTGTGGGAAGCTGGAGTGAATAAGACAGAGGCAGCCAGTTGCTGAGAGATCTGGAAGGAAAGTTATGTGAACAGGCAAAGAAACTCCCGAATGAACTGGTGGTTGATGGAGTCAATCTCACACGCAGCCCTGCCATCTTGTAAAAAGCCTTTTATTTGTCCTTTTTTTTTTTTTTTTTTTTTGTGAGAGCCCTGGGAAGTGATCATTAAAGGAACAGACCCAAGGCAGTCTGCGTAGATCTGGGGAGCCTGTGCCCGCCCCTGCCTGGCCTCCCTCCAGCTGGCACCCCCCACTTTTACAAGGGCCAACTGGGTTGCAAGGTTAAAGCCAGAGGGGACCAATTGGTGTTGTGGGGCTTTTTTTACAAAGTGCAAAGGATCAAAGTAATTAGCAAAGGGCGAGAGACCAGGCCTGTTAGAGAAAGAAGCCAGCCACCCAGCGCCTCCCAGCAGCATGGCTCAGCCTTTCCCAGGGCTGCCGTTAAAGCCTCCATGTAGCAGAGGGGAATGACACATTGCAGACGCTCTGGGTGCTGGAAGGGACTCCTTTGGAACCAAATAGAAATTGAACCCAGAAGGATTCATCTCTGAGCCAGGAGAACGTTGTGGGGGTCGGGGGATATCTCCAGGTAGTCTGAAAGGAAGATGTGAGCCTTGAGTGAAAAGTTCTTGAGGATTCTCTCTGAGACATTCCGTTGCTTCTTTCCTGTTTCAGATGGAAACTCGCATGGCCAGGGCGAGACTGGCTATGTGAGCACTTTCAAAGCTTATCAGCTGTGATCATGGCAGGGCAAGACTTATCGAGCAAGGCTTCATTCACAGAATTATTTTAAGTGGCCCATAGACAGGATTATAAATTATATAGACTCAGCAGACAGCTCCCTCCTTCCCTCCCTCCCTGCCTCCCTCTGTTCCTTCTTCCTTCCCTTCCTCCCTCTCTGATTCTACCAAGAAGAAAGTCTCTGTTTGGTGCTAGTATTCAGGGGTAAGCAAAGTAATGACCCCCCAAAGACATCCATGGTGGCAGAGAATGAGATGATTAGGGAGCATCACTGACTCAAAGGACATGAATTTGAGTAAACTCTGGGAGACAGTGGAGGACAGGGGAGCCTGGAGTGCTGCAGTCCATGGGGTCACAAAGAGTGGGACATGAATGAGTGACTGAACATCAACAACAAAGATTTCACGCCTGTGAATATGTTACTTTTCCTGGTAAAAGGGACTTTGCAGGTATGATAAAGGTTAAGTCCTTTGCAATGGGGAGATTGTTCTGGATTTTCCAGGTGGACCAGTCTAATTCCATGAGTCGTTACAATCCAAGAACTTGCCTTGGCTGTTGAGAACCAGAAAGACGGTAGCATGATAAGGATCCAGGGGTCATGAAAATTAGGAGGACATGTGTGGGAACCAAACAGAGGCTTCCTGCAGGTAACAGTGGTCCCCAGCTGACAACCAGCAAACAGATGTAGATCTCAGTCCTATGGCCAGGTGGAACTGAAGGGGCAAGGAAGTGATTCTCCCCAGAGACTCCAGGAAAGAACAGAGTCCGGCCCCACCCAAGACTTGTGACCAGCAGATCTGTAATATAAACATTGTTTTAATGAACATGCACCCATTTTTCCCAAATGAAAAAGAGAGTGAGAGCCAGTATGAGTGAGAAAGGTCCTCCCACTCAGAGCTCCAGGAACCTTTAAATTGTAATTCCCAGCTAGGATTTTATTTTTTTTTAACAGAGCCACATGGCTTACGGGATCTTAGTTCCCTAACCAGAGACTGAACCTGTACCTCCTGTAGTGCAAGCCCAGAGTCTTAACCACTGGACTGCCAGGGAAGTACCCCCAGCGAGGATTTTGTACCATCGTAAGGAGTTCATTGTTTTTGTTTCTAGACTTCATTTTGGTTCGTGGTAATGGTTTTATATTTATGGTACTGATTTCAATTTTCCTGTTCTGGGGTAAATTTGTTTAAGTTAAGAAAAATAAATCACGTTTAAAAAATATTAGTAAGTAACAATGCAGATTTTATGAACTGACTTGTTTAGTCGCTCAGCCATGCCCGACTCTTTTGTGACCCCATGGATTGTAGCCCACCAGGCTGCCCATGTGACAGCCTCTGTCACATGTAGTCCACCTCTGTCCATGTGACTTACCAGGCAAGAGTACTGAAATGGGTTCCCATTTCCTTCTTAAGGGGATCTTCCTGACCCAAAGATCGAACCCATATCCCTTCTGTCTCCTGCACTGACAGGCAGATTCTTTACCAATGAGTCTCCATGAATTGACTAGTGGTATTTAAATATCTGAAAATTGGGAAATACCAGTTCAGAATTTTCTGAAGAACCCCTTGGGAGTTCAGAAAACTGACAGGTAATTCTGCATGTGATTTGCATATATTTGCATCATTATATTGACCCACACAAGGGCCAGTGAGAGGCAGGGCAAGATGTCCTCCATGTTCTTTCAGAGACTGTGCTCAGTGATCACTTATCTCTCAGCTGGCCCTTGGTACTGGGACCAAAAGGAATAAAGTGTTCCAAGCAGCCAACCAGGTAAGGCTTTGTAGCATGGGTTAACAACCTGACTTTGGGACCAATCAGCACTGGCTTTGAACCTTGGCTCTGCCCCTTAACATTGTATGACTTGGGCCAAATACTTGACCTCTGAGCTTAATCTCCCTATCTATAAGAAAGAACCAGTGAGAAAGCTCTCCAGAGATGAAGTAAGGATTTAAGATGGTACTATTTTTAAGGAGCCCAGGTCATATGTATAGTAAGGAATATCATCCGTTGTTATTATTATTCTTAGCTGCCCTGCCAGTGGCCAGCCCCTTCACTCATTGCTTGTGATCCCGGCCTCTGGCTTCCCTGAGGGGTGTTCTGGGCAAGGCTGGGCAGACAGTCTCCAGGCACGCCAGGCTTGGGCTGGTCTCTGTCACCCTGACATGCAGAGAAAAGCAGAAGGAAGCAATCTTGCCGGGCCCCATGAGGCTGGGTGGCCAAGGCTGCCTGCAGACTCTTTTTCCCCTTCACACAGAAGCTCTGGCCCTTTTCAAGGACAAAAGTTGGAGAGAGAACATGCTCTGTCTGGGAACAGGGCGATGCGAGGTTTCTCAGCCCTGACCAGGGAGATGGCATAGAAGAGTAATTTTGCCTGGGAGTGACTGGTGGGGCAGGGGGTTGGGGAGAAGAAGGAACAGAAATAAAAGACCTCTTTCCATCTCTACTCTACTAAAAAAGTGTGGCTTTGGGGATCAAAGAAGCTTAGTTTGGAATACTGCTTCTGCTAGCTATGTGGCTTTGGATAAGTGACTTTCACAACTACAGCAAATGTTGATTAAACCCTGACTTTGTGGCAGGCTCTATTCTAACTGCTTCACAAATGTTGAATAATTTAACCTTCACAAGAAGCCAGGCAGGTATGATTATCTCCATTTTCCAGGTATAAAAAGGCACAGAGAGGTTCTGTAACCGGACCAAACTCACACAGTTTACACATGGCAGAGCCAGGATTCAATCCAAAATAGTTTGGATCCAGAGTCTATACTTCGCTAGTCTTGGCAATTTTACTGTTTTCAAGACTCTCATGTGTCTGATAGCCTACTTAAATATTTAAAGGTTAGGCTTCCCTTGTGGCTCAGAGGGTAAAGAATCCTCCTGTAATGCGGGAGACCTGGGTTCGATTCCTGGGTCGGGAAGATTCCTTGGAGGACGGCATGGCAACCCCCTCCAGTATTCTTGTCTGGAGAGTCCCCACGGACAGAGGAGCCTGGCGGGCCATGGTCCATGGGGTTGAGAAGAGTCGGACACGACTGCGCACAGTAGACACATGTGCTTTCCGAACCTGATTTTCAGATTCCAAATACAGTCAACGGACTCTGAGCTCACACAGATGTGCTTACTGTGGGGCAGGACTCGCTAGTCCTGTCTTCACAGAGGGCTCTTCTATCTCCCTCCCTCCTTCCCTCATTTTTTTCCTTCCTTTCTTCTCCCCCTTTTCCCTCTCCTCCTCTGTTCATGCAAGCAGCACACACTTATTCGCTGCCTGCTGCATACCAGAGACTGTGCCTACGTTAATGTTACGTTCCTACTGTTTCCTTCTCTCCGTGTCCCACGCGCAGGTCATTGACATGCTGCCAGTTACCCCCTCGCCCCTACCCCTGTGATTAGCAGGCCAAGCGCTTCCTACACCAAAACTCCAAGCCGAAGCAAGTGCTGGCAGAGTTCCACCCGTCATTGGTGACCCTGTCAGCAAGCCATGGCCCTGCTGAGAGCAGGGTCCTCAGCCGAATTAGGGACAGGAAAAGCCGCTGCTCAACAGAGACCGTGCTCAGAGCCACGCTCTTCCCGGCCCGCTGCCAGACTTCTGGGGTCTTGGCTCCAAGGGCCGACCCCACCCAGGCAAGGCTCCTGGGCTTACATGCTGTCTTCGAAGAAATCCAATAGATGTGGAGACAAGGCGGAGGCTGCAGGAGGAGGGTGACTGAGCCCCAGCCAGGGGGTGCGGGGTTGGGGGTGGTAGAACTGTTTTCAGGGCAGATTTCACCAATAAACCTCTGAGAGGGAGAAGAGCATTTGGGGCTGCCAACGGAGGGCAGTGGCTATAAACGCAGGATGGTCTGTAGATGGATCAGGGTCCTCAGGACACAGTGGTGATGTCACCCTTGCCACCCCCCCTGCCCCCCACCCCCGTCTCCTGGTCCTCCATCCCCTCCCCCTCCCATGTGAGCCTTGCTCTGCTCTTTCCCATCTGAGACTATGACTTTGTGCTTCCAGGCCCTTCTTTTAAAGAGAAAAACAATCAGTGAACTTGAGGGCCATTTGGACAGTGTGCTGATTGAACTGCATGCAGCTCAGCTACTTAACTCAGTTGGGGAGACTTTGGGCTTGTTTCATTCCTCTGAGCCTCAGTTTTTGCATCTGTAAAATGGGTGTGCTGACCACTTTCCATTCACTACTAAGTGTCTTTGCTCCATTTTTTGGCCTCTCCAGGCTACTCTCAATTCTTATCTTCCTTGAATCTGGTTTCCCCACACCACCTCATCCTCACATATGCTGACATTTTTCAGGTCTTAATACATCTCTTTCTCATTCCTTTTTAAAATCATTTCCTTCTCTCATGACAACCTGTGAGCTATCTTTTGGTGCTTGTGCTCCTGTTTTTGAGCTGCTCTGCTTCCTGTGTTTTCCTCCTTCCCACTGCCATCAATATAGCACCACCCCCTACCCCACCACCTCACCCCATCTTCTTATCTGAGCCAAAGTTGTTGTTTCCACCCTAATTGCTGCCCTCCTGAATTCAAAATCTTTTTTGGCCTTCAAGGTCCTGGTGAAATGATTTTTCTTTCAAGAAATTTCCTTTGTTTCTGTCCCCTCTGTGGTTCTGTGGCATTTCTGAACACCTATTGGTAATAATCACGGCAATGGCCACCCCCCTAGGAAGAACAGTGGCATGTGTTTACAGCATAATGAGTGCCCAGGGAAATGAGTCACTCATTTCACTGGAGAAGGAAAATGAACTTGGTGTTCTCAGAGAAGAGGAGGCCCAGAGGACATGGAGGAGGGGGATGAGATATATTGGTAGTTTGAAGGCTTGAAGGCTTTAGGTTAGACTCAGAAAAGAACTTTCAGGGCAGGCAAAGGAACAGTATTTTTTTTTTTTTTTTTTGCCAAAGCAAATGTCTTGCATTTCCCCAGAGCTCTCTGAGCAGTTTTATACATTCTCAATAGGCATGATTTGAAGTCTATTTGGAGACCAGGGGGTGGATGGTACAGAGAACAGTGACCCCCCGATGCCCTTGTCCACTCCAGGATCCTTCTGAGACTGGAGGCGAAGGCAGACAGCTCTCCTGCCTGTTCCTTTCCACTATTTTTCTTTGCAGCTGTCTCTGCATTTCAGAGTTCACAGCTCTGCCAGGGACTCTATTTTGGGATTTGTGGGAACAGGCTGGTTTCGGCAAATAGGAAGCTTTAGAAATCTCAGCAAGCTCGTTCCCTTGGGCCTCCCAGCCTGCTCCGAGGGCAGGAGAGAGAGAGGCAAAGAAGCTGTCTCAGGCTCCAGTGTCCCAGACATGTGCAGACAGGAGAACAGGATGCCCTCTTCCAGCAAACTCGGGGGGCAACCCGCATCATCGTTGAAATCAGCTTGTTTCCTGGCTGGCTGCCCTGAGGGCCAAGGTGAGGCCTTTGTCTGCTGGGGCCGCATCCCCCGCAACCCTGCAGAGACTGACCCGGGCTTCCGTGAAAACTGACACCAAATTCCCATCGCATCCTTGGTCCCTTTGCTCTTGGAGAGAACTAGCAGGTGGCAGCTGAAGGGAGCTCAGCTCAGACGCTCAGAGGAGCTCGGGGGCCAATGGCCTTAGGGTCGTGTGGCTGTCTGTCCACAAGTAGGTGGGCATATGGGTTTGTGGGTCTGTGGGTCCACGTGAATATTTGAAGATTTGTATATGCAGTGGTGCATGGTTGGGTGTTCACAGGGGTGTGCTGTAAATGTGTGGATTTGAGTTTTCACCGAAATGGGTGTGAATCTACTGATTTGTGTATTTACATATTCGTTTTCACCATATTAACTATCTTTAAACATTTAATCCACTGGGTTTGCATGAGTAATATTTCACTGTATGGACAAATCATGGATCATTTAACCCATCACCCGCTGGCAAATGTTTAGATCTTTATGGTTCATTGCAGACAAAACTGTAATATGCATTCTTTTCATCAAAGTCGAATGCACATTTCTCTGCGTAAAAGAAGAGGAGGAGTAAAGAGCTCAAAAGGTATTCACATTTTGTTGACTTTCACCTGCCATTTTTTGTTTGCACACAGTAGGTGCTCAATAAATGATTGATGAATGAACGAACTGGTAATTGAGCATCAGTCCAGCTCTAAAACGACGGACATCCTCACACTCAGAATCTACCACCTCCTTCTAGCTGTTGAAATCTCAAATGAAGGGGATTTTTCTGGCAGTCCGGTGGTTAAGACTTCACCTTCCAATGCAGGGGGTGTGAGTTCAATCCCTGGTCAGGGAACTAAGATCCTACATGCCACAGGGTGTGGCCAAAAGAAATAAATAAATAGACACAATATTGGAAGTCAACTATACTTCAAGTAAAAAAATTTTTTAAATCTCAAATGTAGTTGTGAGGCTTAGGCAAGGAGGCAGAGAATGGAATACCCCACTGAGGACCACTTTCTGCTGATGTGGAGGAGAGGGTTAGTCTCTGAGGGTGAGTTCCCTCCCAGGCACCCGCCCCATAGTGGCTGTATCAGCGCAGGAAGAAGAGGGAGGGGGACTCCAGGTGCGACATCCCGGACCTTACTGCTATCCATCAAAGGTTTCCTAATGAACTAATAGCCCTCATGTGTGAACATTGATTTCTGGGGTGACGCCAAAGCTGAGATGATTTACATCCAGCTTCCCATCGTTGATGCACCATTGATCTCCATGGGCACTAAAATATTTATCAGAAAATATTTATTAGGAAGGGCAAGCCTGGAAGGGTCCTGGCTGGAGGAACAGAACAAGTGACCCATGGGTGAGAGATTCAGGAAGCGCAGGGGAAAATCCCAAGAAGAAGATGGTTGGGGGGTGGCGCCCAGGGACCGTCTAGCTATATGCTTCCCTGGTGGCTCAGGGGTAAAGGATCCACCTGCCGATGCAGGAGACACGGGTTTGATCCCTGAGTTGGGAAGATCCCCTGGAGAAGGAAATGGCTACCCACTCCAGTATTCTTGCCTGGGAAATCCCATGGACAGAGAAGCCTGGTGGGCTATAGTCTATGGAGTTACAAAAGAGTCAGACACAACTTTGCAGCTAAACAACAACAAACAGGGACCTCCTAGAGCCCAGAAGCCACACTGCGCTCCAGGCCAGAGGAAGGGGCCAATCTGAGCTTTGAGTCCCCAGTTCTTGGAGTTGGCACCAAATGGCACCTACTCGGGGATGCTTTCATGGACCATCCCATCTAAAACAGCTCCAATCTCTGTATTGTATCACACAACTGGCTCCCTCCTTTTGGTTTTTTGAGTTTTGACTGATAAGACGATACAATCCACCATCCAATTTTAAGTGCACTGAGATGTGAGTTGACTCCTCACACACCCCACATGATACACCTCTATGTGCACTGGCACTTAAGTCCACTCAGCCTTGGGTGCCCAGACACACCTCCATAGCAGACACATCACCTACCGAGCACACACTAATGTAGAAACCCACCTCCACAGGTCATGGAGCATGGCAGGAAAACAGAGCTCATCTACCTGGATATTTATCCAAACATACATTCCCACATGTTTGTGCAATCGCCCACTTTTTCATGACATACATTTATACACATTTTGGATTGACCAAAAACTTTGGTTAGCTTTTTCCATTATATCGTATGCAAAAAGCTGAACAAAGTTTTTGGCCAACACAATATTTTTCCAGGCTTCCCATGTGGCTCAGTGGTAAAGAATTCGCCAGCCAACACAGGAGCTGCAGGATGCGCAGATTTGATCCCTGGATCGGGAAGATCCCCTGGAGGAGGAAATGGCAACCCACTCCAGTATTCCTGTCCACAGAAAATTTCATGGACAGAGAAGCCTGGCAGGCGACAGTTCATGGGGTCACAAAGAGTCTGACAAGACTGAGCAACTGAACATGCACGCATACACACAATATTTTCCATTTATACATATATGTTCATGTGTCCTCATATATAAAATATTCTTACATGTTCTCTCTTGTACAATATTTATATGTAAACATTCACATGCCCCAGTTAGACATGCAGACATACACATATGTATCCACACCATGCACTTCACACACATCTACACTCAGACACACATGCATGCAGGTCCCATGCAGGCATGCATATATGTCATATGCAGGAAAATGTACATGCAGATATAGGCTCTGTGTACAGGGTCAAGTATAGGAAACACAAGTTTCTGCCAACTTGGACCCTGATACACAGAAACTCACACACATGTATGCACCCCGTGGCATATGTACTTACATATCTAAACATGCCTTACATATGTGTATCACCAGGCATATCCAGGCATGTGAGAAACATGTTACATGTATATACTCATATGAAATGTGCACATATTTGATCCAAACATCCAAACAGAAGTTATGTGTGCCCCTTTCTACTATATGACCTTGAATTCTGGAATTCTTCAGTTTGGTTTGCCCTACCCAGCATCTTTCTGGACCTAATTTTCTCCTGACACACTGTCCTTGTTAAACATTTATTTCCTACTTAGAAAATGTAGCAAAATGTCCCCTCATGACACTTCATTTTTTGAAGACATTTGTTCATCTTTGGAGACACACGGAGGGCCCAGTTATATCTGCTAGTGATCCTAAGGGGCCCAAACCAGGTGGAATCTGGAGATTTCATTCAGCAGCCTGCAAGAGAGAGATAAATGTTAATTTATTTGCAAGG